AAAAAAAAAAAAAAAAAAAAAAAAAAACCCCCCCCCCCCCCCCAAGGGAAAAGGGGGGGGGGGGGGGGGGGGGAAAAACCACAAAAAAAAAAAAAGGAAAAAAAAGGGGGGGGGGGGGGGGGGGGGGGGGGGCGCCAACAAAAAAAAAAAAAAAAAAAAAAAAAAAGGAAAAAAAAAAAAAGAAAAAAAAAAAAGGAGGGAAATTTTTTTTGGTTTAAAAAAAGGGGGGCCCCCCGGGGGGGAAAAAAAAAAAAAAAAAAAAAAAAAGGGGGGGGGCGGTTTTTTAACGGGGGGGAAGGGAAAAATTCCCCCCAAAAATTTTTAAAAAACGCCCCAAAAGAAAAAAAACAAAAAAAATTTTTTTAAATAACTAAATTTCATTATTACCTATTAAGTTCAATAAAAATAACTTTCAACAATAAAAAATAGGGGTATATCGTAGTACAAGGGAGGAAATTAAGGGTTGTATGTATTTTAGTATGATGTATCATAAAAAAATAAAAACCAAAAATTTTGTCGAAAAAATAAATAAGATTTTTTTGGGGACGACACCCCTTATCACGAAAGACTTACTAAATATGCATAAATTCATAAGAGTCGGTCAAGCCGTTTCGGAGGAGTATGGGAACGAACATTGTGAAACGAGAATTTTATATATGTATTAGATTTTTTTATAGGATAGGGATGCAAATTTTAGTGGGTGCACTGCCGGCCTTTGAGGAAGGAGTATACTCTTTTTTTAAACAATTGGAGGTCGTATCTCCCAGGGAAGTCTTCGATAACACAGTTCGCTAGTTTTATAGTTGTATAAAGAAGAAAAGATTACTGGAAGATTACTGAATCGGTTTAAAAAGTTCTTTGAGAATTTATAAAAAAAAATGTCCTGCCGTATATAAAGAGGTAAAGTTAAGTAGTTTGTGAGTGTATAGAGGGTAATCTCAGAATCTACTGATGACTTTGAAACTTTTTGTACCAATAGATTTTTTTACCAATGTTATTTCTGCGTCAGGAAGGCAAAAAGGCAGTCGGATTTTCAAAGTAGTCGAAGAATAAACGGTCGAACGAAAACGTTTACGAACGCTGCCTTAACCATGAGAGATAAATAATTGAGTTCTAGGAGAAAAGCAGAGCCTGACAATGTCCCCAAAAAACAAGTCCTTCGCCACCTCTATCTGTCTGTTTGTTCGCTATAAACTCAAAAACTACTGCACGGAATGTATTATGGTTTTTACCAATATCTAGAATGATTAATGGGGAATAAACCTAAACCGGTTTAGCTATATCACTTTTCAAGGTTTACGAGAGCGGATCGCTTGTCTATTATATAATATCAGAAAATAAAAAAGATATACTTACTTGTAAAACAGCAGGCTGTGATATTGCAACCCCGGTTTTGGAAACACAGAAGGCGGAAGCTTCAAACCGTGTAATTGAGTCTGGAGCACGAGCCGTCGCCACCACTGAACCATTAGCGCCTACCATCACAAGCTTCCATAGCCACGACTGAAATTATTTTAGTACCACTAAATGACAATCTTTTTTGAGGAAATTTTTGTAACTACCCACATCGAAAATTTAAAACGGAGGGTAATGGAGTACACTTTTAAAATTTTCGGTAAAGATAGGTTTTTGAATGTTAGAAATGTATTCAGCATTATAAATTTTAACTAAGATATTGAAAACGAGGGTAGTTTAAAAAGATGTCCTGATATGCCTTTACTTATATTTCATTGTAATGAGAGAACGACGAAGACGTCACGTGACATGATCACAGAAATCAGGTTGTGCGCAAGCAAAAATTTATTGCAATGCTAATTAGAATTTCATGGAAATTGTTCCGCTGAAAAATCAAGCAGGATTTTATACTTCGCCTCCAAAACCCAAAATATTTTCTTCACCAATTAATTGCTTATTTCAAGCTAAAATGTTAATTTTTTAATGAATCGAATATTCCCCAAATTCCTCAATTTATGGGGGGGACTGAGTGTGAGCCATTGTGCGTTCTAAGTCTCTTCGAAAACGATATATTTTGACTGCCATACGGCACAACAGTATACAATACACGCTGTTGTGCCGTATGGCATACGTGAGACATACTCGCGCTCAGTAGACCCTAGAATAAGCACTGTACCTCAGAGAAGTCACTCCTAAGCAGATTGTCATCGGCTGTAAGTAAGGCGGGTGGAGTGTCACACTGCTTCCGGAAGGTTTTTCCTCCCAAAAGTCTTACTCCGGCATTACTTAACCACATCTCGGCTAAGTTACTGCTGGACAGTTGGGACAGTTCTTCAGAAGCTGAAAACAATTGTATATTACAATTATAGTTGTTCGAAATGATACCTGCAGCCGAGTTTCATCATCGGGCCATTTCATCTGGGCCTCAGATTTCTGTATCTGTTTCACGATCATTTGTCCATCTAATGGGCAAGTAGGTGATCTGCCTCCTAAGCCTGACATACGCCGTCGAGTTTTTGGGTTATTGGGTATTCCTTCACCGTTCGAGCGAATGTTAAATGCGCATATAGAAAGTAAGTCCATTGGTACACAGCTGGGGATCGAACCTATGAACTCTGGGATGAGAGTCGCACGCTGAAGCCAACTAGGCCAACACTGCTCCGTAACATGTCACCTACATGAGTCAGTAAATAATCTAATTAAGTTTCATATTTAAAAAATGCCCATAGTATTCTATCGAAATCACTCACAAAAGAAACATTCCCCCGCCGCGTCATATTCAGTCATATTTCTGTGTCCATCTATCAATTTTCTAAGGCTCTTCATGATGAGGTCCCGAATAGTCTCTCCTGGCTGAATCCATTTTGATGCGGTATCCAGTACCGAAAGGGCACAAAGCGCTGGTCCTGGAGTTGATAGATGAAGGCTTGCCATAGATCCTGGTGCGGTTTGACGATTCGACCAGGTTGCTTCCACCTAAAGTATTCATTAGTCTTAACTGTTGTTTTGTCAAATTCAATAGTTTTCAGTGGCATAATAGCGGATAGTTCAAGTTTATAGATGGGAAGAATTCTGACAACAATATAAATCTAACTAAGAGTTCAGGCCCTAATTCGGCGCCTCTGAGTCGAATATAACAGAATAAACAATACTTATCCAGAGCTAGACATATTACATTTTTAAAAAAGCATTGTTAAGCACCTATCTTGACCTAATTTGCATTTTTAAATAAAACCTTACTAGTAAAAACTAAAATTAGAAGTGTAATATTTTTTTTGGTAAAAACAAAGACTGGAAGCTACCACCGATTTAAAATAACATAAGGTCCTTTAAAAAAATACCGTATCAACTCTTCAAAGGCTTTCTACGCAACATTGAATGCCTCGTACGACGAATTCTTTCAGAGAATTTATTAATCAAGTGTAAAATCTCTGGTCAGGTATTGCTTGAAATTTTGAATTTGTAACCAAAAATATGCACGCCATTTTGAATTTCAATTTTACGAACCTTAACGTCCTGAATAAAATGAATGGTAACCATGGTAACTAACACGGTTCTAACTTTAATCCACATTTAAGGTCACTAGAATATAAACATTTGAATGGTTTTTCTGAAATCTAACCACAATTACGTATGGTCTTTGATACTTCTTTAAAGAAAATCAGAAATATAACTTTAATTTCCTCATACATACCTTATTAGCAAAACACTCGTCCATCTCAAGATGTTTGCTTGCACTTATTAATTCATTATTATAATAAAAGTACGCAATCAAATGGCTGTCTGGACACATTTGATGCGTCACTTTTATCGGTAGCATTATCTTCAGCAGTTTCCCATCTAGAAGGGAGTCCATTGCATCTGTTGTATTAGACCCAACGGCAAAATTTTGGAAGCTGTCAAAGTTTTTGCCAATGTTGCCAGGGTTGTTGCGAAGGTTCTCGCAGTTGGAGTTTCTGTTTGCGGTAAGAATTTGGTCGGAACTGGATGGGCATTGTGTTGTGGCACCCCAACGGTAGATTATGCCTCCACGGGTGATTACCTATTGGTAATATGGGTTTTGATGAATTGTACACTTTTATCTCTTAAGCTATTAATAGCTATTTTGATTTCAGTATGAATACTGAATATTATTCAGTTGAGATTGATTTTACAGAGTAACCGTGCTTATAGCAATAATTAAAATAATGATTCTGACTGAATTCATTTTTAAAGCGTTTTTAAATATCTCAACGTTTACAAATACATTTCCAGCTATTTATTGAATCAGTCATTGAAAATTGGGATTTTACAGAGTAACCCTGCTTATAGCAATTATTAAAATAATCATTAGTTTTTTTCTGTGGAATTTTATTTTTAATGTGTTATGAAAAATATCTTACCATGCGCAAACAAATTTTCAGCTATTTATTGAATCAGTCATTGAAAATTGGGGTTTTACAGAGTAACTAAAGCAATAATTTATTTTATTGTCCGTGAATTTAATTTTAAAGTGTTATCACATTCACAAATACATAGACAAAAATTTTATAAAAAATACTTACCACAAAGTGTACAGTGAGTGGTTGTACGACGTTGTCTAGATTGACGTATAGAGGCACTAAGGTTTTGGCCGAAGATTGCGCGCGCAACGGACCTAAGGCCGCTCGACCAGTACTCGAACCTACTATCAACTGGAGGCTTGTTGATGCATTTTTACATGAAGCCTAAAAATGTGCCAAAAATGTTGTATAATATTATCCTCGATGTTAAAAAAAAATACGTGTGGCAGTCCCCGAGTGCCACACGTGCCGCGGTAAAGCTATTGCATAGCATTTTTTATAAACTTATGCAATATAATTATTTATTTATTTTTCTTTATTATTACTTAATTCAAGTTTTTTCTTTGATATTAATTCAATCTACCACTCTACCAGACTCAGACTAACACGCCTATCCGATCCTCTAAACCGATGTGCGCAGTATGCGATCTGTCCCGCTCTAACGCGTATTGCCCGCACCTATATTACGTCATCGTGTGTTAGGTTTATTTCGTTACGGAATTTCTTGACTCGGTCGCCGCGCTCAAAGACCGCGATAAAATCTATGCAATAGCTTAATAAATCAGTCCAATAGGACGATTGTAATTTAAGTACACAGTGTCACACAATTTAAAAGAAAGAGACAAATATTTATTTAGATTTTATGAATGGTTCATGTAGAGTGTAGACTGTAGACTAAAGAATGGCAAATCAGTTATAAAATTTAAGGTAATTTAAGGTTTATAATTTAAGAACATTAACATTACATTTACTCATTTCAATCAAGAGAATTCAACTTATACATTTATTTTGTCAATAATAATTTACTTTCAACTTTGTCGATGTTTTTTAATTCGAAATAAATCCTATATATCCCATAACGTAACTGAACACGACAATAGACTATATTTTTAATACGTTACGTAACATTGTAACTTGAATGAAGGCCCTAAAAAGGTTCGAATTGATTTTTCTTTGTGTTTATTGGACTATATATGATCTTATGTAATACGAAGCAAAACAAAGAAATATATTAATGAACATATATTATTAATATTATTAAGTAGATAAACACACTAGCAGCTTAAATAGCTGATGCGCGCGTATCTTCGAATCTTTAGAAATTGTCCAACCTGTTTTTAAAAGAGTTCAAAGTTCAAACTAATTTCACTTTCCCGAAGCCTATTCTAACATTTGTCAATTATTTTATAAAATGTATAGCACATACCTGAAATACGTAGTACGGACCTCCATTTGCCGTAAACATAACTCTCGTGATGCCTTTATCATCTGTAAGTGACTCTATGCAAGAGGAATTATCCACCATGAATTTCTCTAGAGATTTAGCCGCTGATTTGCAGATTCGTATATTCTCGTTTGAAGCTGGTTTGTCATCCCAACGAATGGCTTTTACCTAATGTAAATAATTTTAATTATAACAATTTTAATTTATATTTACAGCTTTATATGAATAAAGTGTTACAATTACAGCTATAAGTGATATTCGGGGAGAGTTTAGCAAAATTTCATACTTAGGAAAATTTAAATACACTACACTATTATATCTGAAGTGATCATGGTATAATAATGAATTATGATTAAATGTAGAAATAATTATGGATGTAAGATGAATTGAATAATATTTTGAAGTGAAACTTCTTTAGGCGCACGAGGGTAAAAATTTTACGGGCACGTCATGAAGATGTGCAGCGTTTTATCGAAGAAAAGGGAGAGAGCGATTGAGAGAGAGTGAGTTTAGAATTACTTTATATAAATTATATTTTAAAAATTAAAATTTAGTAAAGAGAATTTGTGAAATATTAGTATTCTATATTTTATGCAAAATACAGAAAAAATAATAAATTCTTACATGACGAATTGTAAGTTAAAATGCCACGTGTTTTTATTATCGAAGAAATAAATTATTTTTCATTAACAATTAAATTCATTAAATTCCTAACATATCTTCCTTTTTCCCTCTCTTTAAGTTTCGGAAATCTTAAGTTTTAGATTTGTATAAATATGAACAATACTTAAAAATTAGTTTGCCAAAGAAGTTTCACTTCTGACATGTGTACTTTGTACGCACGCACTTGTTTTATAATGACAGTGTAAAATCACTTACTTTTAATTTGTAAGGTAGTCCTGAAGATATGACCGTCCTCTGCCTGGTCAGAAACTCCAATGTGACGGGATTATCAACAACTTCAGAAACCACAGTCGTATTCTGCCAGACCCTAGTACCTTCTTCCTAAATTATAACAAAAAAAATATTTCCTTAAATCTATACGGAAAGAGAACCGTGGGTTTCGAGGATGTAACGTTGTTACGTCATTAAAGTTCGACAGTAACAATGTTCATATATTTTTACTGGTGTCTAATGCCCGCCTTCCACTGCGAGCGGAACGGACCCATTACGGACTCCGCTATACTCGTCACGATGATTTTCATAGATGTGCTTCCATCAAAGCGGAGACGAGCGTAGCGGAGAGAGCGAGTTGAAAGAGTCACATATGAGGTTAGCGTTACCGAGTTTCACACGGAAATGAAAATTAAAATGTATGAAAATCATCGTTACGAGTATAGCGGAGTCCGTAATGCCGGCCATACACACTAGGTCTACCGGAGAGGTTCACCTGTGCAGGTATGCCTGCGCAGGTAGACCGGAATGTGGGGGAATAGACCTGTGCAGGTTTTTGAACCTGCGCAGGCGACCGGCGCAAGATCGAAAATAGATTATTTGAGTGACACCGTACGGTGTACCTGTGGTGTGGTGGTATTCCGGTCGCTGCGAGGTTGTATAGGCAGCGGCACGTAAGTTAGCGCTGGCCGATAGTGGAGGGGATTGCTGGATGTGTACTGTCGCGCGGGGGGGGAATGGACTGAGAGCCAATCCACGCTACGGCCCGCTAGCCCCCTCAGGTACCTTATTTTTACTTCTGGCAATAACGGTAGCGCTAGACTTTCGTGCTGCTATTGTAACTGAATGTAATGATAATCTTTCGTGGTAGAACTACTATTTCTCATAACTGTGTCTTTTATATAGTAGTAACCATTTCAAGAATGCCATCGAAGATATTTTAAAATCTTTGTTCAAATTTCAATTCATTTAATAAATTAACATGACTATATGTTTTCCTTTTCAATAACCAATGCACACCCTCGCCGACATTTTTCTTCAAAATTAAAGCAAGACCTAGCAACGCCAGCGTATCATCGTCCACATTGAGATGAAAGAGAACTGAAGACCGCTCGAAACGGAACGTCCCCATAAGCGTGTACCATTGTTCGATTGACCTGCACAGGCATACCTGCACAGATAACCTCTCCGGTAGACCGTAGTGTGTATGGCCGGCATAATGAGTCCGTTCGTTTAACCGTTCATTTTTCCGCGTTTCAGGATATGACGTCAGCGCAACGATTTATAAGCGCAGATGTGATGTGTCGCAGGCAACTAGCTTAATTAACCGTTCAATAAGCAGCCTAGTTTCTTTCCTAAACTGATGTCTGAAAGCTGAATTATATTTAGCCGTAGCATTTGTTACAACATTTAATAAACTGGCTGGCTCATGCTTAGGGCATTCGTACGATCATGTGTCAGAAAAAATGTATGTATATTATAATTTTGTTCTATGTTACAGAATGCAAACCGTCAGAAGGCTCACCTGATGTGATGGACAGTCACACGGCCAGAAGGCTCGCAAGCGCGCTGCCGGCCTTTTTTGAATTGGTACGCTCATTTCTTAACCCTAAGGACCCTAAATATAACTGGTTCGGAAATACTTCAGTTGGCATCTGGTTCCGATTTTATTCGGTGATGTTCAGATTTCATTTTAACATTTACCAACTGCTGCTAAGATTTTTGTCAGAAAAACTTATATAGCTAGCCATAGCAAACTCTAAAATGTGTGTAAATAAAGAAATAAATGCGCGTTTATATCAGTTAATGAAGTTTTAGTAATAGAATAGTAATTAAAAGTATGGAAAACTTGAGCTTTCCATGCGCATATTTGGAACTGGCTTTACTCTTAACTATTACCTGAAAAGAAAAATCTGCTACAATGACGTCTGGTGGATTGTCACCCAACAGACCGATGCGTCGGGCGGCGGCCGCATGTCGGTGGCAGGCCCTTGGTGCCCGGATACGGGTCGCTGTTCGGATACCGCCCGATGACCCCGCTCCACGGATTCGGATTACTAGCATCCCTTCTACTGCTTCTGACCAGGGATATCTTAAACGAATTAATTTAAATTAAATTTAATTTCGATTCAATATCTTAAAGGTCATACTATCATAAATTTGTATGTAAATTGTTTTGCCTTATTGTTTTTTAATAATGTATATTATTTTATTATTCTTCGAATTCCGACCAGAAAGGTTTAGAACACACCAACTTGTCTTAGGAATATTTTTTTTTCCTAGAAAATTCTGCGTGGCACAAAAATATTTACCAAAACTACAATAGTTCAATGGCCCCCCCCCCCCCCCCCCCCCCCCCCCCCCCCCAAAAAAAAAAAAAAAACCCCCCCCCCACCAAAAAACCACCCCCCCCCCCCGGGCCCCCCCCCCCCAAAAAAAAAAAAATGGAATTTGCTAAAGAGGGGGAAACCCTTTTGGGAAAAAAAAAGGAAAAAAAACCAAAATTTGTTTAAAAGTTTCATTTTACACTAAAATTTTTTTTTTTTTTCTCGAAACTCCACTGAAAATCAGTGTTGCTGGTGATAGCAACTGAAAGGTTTACGCATTTTTTTTTGTTTTTTTCTGTTACTTAAGTCAAATTAATATGTTTTTCTTATTTTCTTCTTTTAAATTGAATTTTCTTTATTTAATATATAGTTTTACGTAGAAGTATCAAATATATAATATTAAACACAGGCTCTTGAAGTTTTTACTACGCCATATTTTGTCATATATAAAATTTAAATTACTTTACCTCACACAGACCGTCCATACAAGCCGTTCGCTTGTTCGGAGTACTCTTGGCGCATGTCGAACCGTCAACTGAAATGGCGGTAAATCATAGTTTCCTACTGAAAAAACGGCTGATCCCTGAAATGATTAGATGGTTTTAAATATTGAATTAAGTGAATTGTATATATAAAAAATATAATGTGTTATAAACAAAAATGATAGCAAAGGGTTGATTCGCGACGATTTCGAGACGTTAAACATAGACAAATCAAATCTTTATATTTTTGTCTCTGGAATTTGTTACATCATAAACAGTAACGTTTTTTTCAAACACTTTGCTAGTTAATAGTTTACTGTATAAGAAAAAAAAAAAAAAAAAAAAAAAAAAAAAAAAAAAAAAATTTTTTTTTTTGGGGGGGAAAAGGGGTTGGGGGGAAAATTTTAAATAACAGTACCATTTTATACATAAAATATTTTTTATATATATTGGTAAGTAATTTTAAAAGATTTTAATGTTAACCTGAGTCCCATCAGCAAGTCTGCCTCTCAAAGTCCACTTCCCTGTTGGTGACAGCTCGTCTAATTGATACTGAAGTTGAGCCACTCCGAGTCGAGTCCTCACATGTGACCACTGAGCTAGTCTCGAACCCTCCCAAGCACCACTAGGACCTTCCAACCATACTTCATGAAGCTGAAAATTTCCCAGATATGTTGAATTATTTCTTCATAACTTCTTTAGACTGGATTATTTTCACTCATTCCAGTTAGATTCCTGCCCTTCAGGCAAGTCACCCTTTATGGCCCAAACCAGAGAGCCAGAGAATCAGAAGACCCCCTTGTACTATTCGCGGAATCACTAAACCAATGCCAATTATTTCACAATTAAAACTCTACATTATCTCTAAGTAACAAAAGCTATTTTGTTAAAATATTGAAACACACAACAGCCGCGTCCATGCGCTACATTAAATTGCCTCTGGTAATTTACGACCGCTTTCTATACTCAATCCCAAACAAATTTTTACTACTGGAGATTGTTATTTCAATCCATTTATCATAACATACTTTTCAATAAGTGTTTTGTGAAAAATCTTTATATTCGACAGTTCGAATTTTGACATTTATCAATCCTAATTTGCGATAATCTGAATTGGAAATAATTTTAGATTATAGATCGAGTATAGAAGCGGCCTTTATTGGTTGACTCTAAGGGCGTAAGCGCGCTAAGTGTTACTAAACTCAATACTGTATGTGTTAAAAATATACTTTGAATAGTTATAGCAAATCTCGTTTCTGAATATTACACAAAGAACTCCTGTTATATGATACTAAACTAAATCATCAATTAGATCCCATTTTAGTCAAGTATTTAACCATATTACTCGTTCGTGTTAATTTTAACTTTTTACAAAGATTTACGACAATAGTATGCACCCGGAAGTATATTTTATGTATGATATTTTTCCTATTAGAAAGTTCGAGGAAATGTATTGGCTGACTTATTAAAACGTTGCAATAAATAATACTTGTGATCAATTAAGTAAACAAATTATTTGCATACGTGCAGAGCGTGTTCTAAACTGTGTCAGTGTGACGCAGACTTTTATAAATATGCTGTAGTCAAACTTGAAGCCGGCTTTTTACAAATATCTCGAAAATAAGAGCATGAGCAAATGGGCATATTTTGGGTCCACTAAGTAAGTTGCAGTTTACATTTCTAAATATAAATATTAATTGTATAAGTTCTATAATTATATATTAAGAAATGTAAACTAAACAGTTGTTGTGTTGATTAATTAATTAATAAAGTAAAGTGCAGGGTAACGCCTGTATTTCTAGATAATATAAAGATATTTAGTTGGTATATCAAAAACGTATCCGATTTTAACATACGATGGTGATAGTCTTGTTTCTGATTTTTAGGTACCTTCTACAAAAGATATTTTCCTTCCATGGCGAAATCGCGTGCCATGTGCTGAGTGAATTTAAATTATCCTACGCAAATACACCAGTTTAAAGGTTATATACTATTAATTAATAAGGAAATAAGTAAGTCGCAAAACAAAAGATAAAACAAGAAAAGAAAAACAAAAGACGGTATAATTCTTTTTCAATTAATTGCATATAAAGCTTTGAGTTATGAAATGTATTCTAACATGAAAGGGAAAATTAAAAGTTTTATGTACAATCTAGTGTCGTATAATGACGGTTAACAAACACATGTTTTTCCTAACAAAATCCGTACAATATTTAGTTATTTTATGAAAGTCATAACATTTGACGGCAACATGAACACAACCGCAGGACCGGTTGGAAGGCTTTTCAAATAATGGATATACTGTTAATACGAGTTGTGACACTAATGAACAGTTAAACTCTCTTTTCAATGTTTATTTTAATTTCTCTTAAAATTAAAAAGGTCAGTTTTCTTGGTTTTAAATTTGAAATTTTAAAACTGTATATGCTTGTAGGTTTTAAATTTATATTTTTTACAAGAAACTATTTTTTTAATATTTAATAACACATATATAGAGTATTTAGTATTCATATTCTTAGCCTATATAGTAATAATAATAATTCAAAACGGATAAATAGAAAACTATTTGTTTTTGCTGAAGAAACTATAATATATTTAATCTAATTTAACTTGCGATCTCAAAAAATCGTCAGGTAATTGACGACTTGAAATGAAAGCAACGCACAATAATGTCTCTGTCCCATACTCCATTGAGATCTCATTATTCTCTATATAACTATAACTGAATACTATTTTAATATACCTTAAATACATCGAGTTGTCGTTTAGAATAAAGTAAATAAATTGTGCGTGTACTAGGTGTACACACGTTAGAAGTGAAACTTCTTTATGATCTTGTTTTTCGAAAAATGATCTACTATATTAGCAACTTTACAGAAATTCGTTAAATTAGATAAAGTTTAACAAAAGGCTTTTATTATCATAGACATGAATACAAATATTTCATTTTACCTTATTACTACGAAGATTATTATAGAATTTCATTAATTGTAATAGAATTATTACTATCATTGAAAAACGTGACGATTTGCTACAAAATTTCTCCCATACGTCGATAAAGAAGTTTTATTCCAACGCCGATAAAGAAGTTTGACTTCAAAAAGCAACATGGCGCGTAACCGAAAAATGTGACGCGTAACCGGTAAATGTGACGCGTAACGAAAAAATGTTACACTAAATTTTTTTCCAACCTCGATAAAGAAGTTTCACTTCAAAAATGTATCAAAACCAATTGTGTCACCAAAAATGAATGATTATTCTAAAATATTTGTCTGAGTTATATTAATGATATTTTCATTTGAAGGATAAAGCCATAAATCTAGTTAATTTAGTGTTTATTAAAAGAATGTCGTCTAACGAGATAAGTTTTTATCGCGTATTGGACCCGTGTCCCCCCCCCCCCAAAAAAAAAAAAAAAAAAAAAAAAAAAAAAAAAAAAAAAAAAACCCAGCCCACGCACACCCACAAAAAAAAAAAAAAAAAAAAAAAAAAAAAAAAAAAAAAGGGGGGGGGGGGGGGGGGGGGGGGGGGGGGGGGGGGGGGGGGGGGGGGGGGGGGGGGGGGAGGGCACAACAAAAAAAAATGGTGTGGTTTTTTTTTTTTTTTAAAAAAAAGGGGAAAGGGGGGAAGAAAAAAAAAAAAAAAAAAAAAAAAAAAAAAAAAAAAAAAAAAAAAGGGGGGGGGGGGGGGGGGGGGGGGGGGTTTTTGTGTGGTTTTTTTTAATTTCTATGTGATTTTTTTTACTGAGATCTTAGCTTGCATAATTGTCCACATTTTAGATGTGGGATTTTGTGAAATAGTTGGTGGACTAAGGACTGTGTGTGATGCTGTGGGCTTGTAACTAAATAAATCAATCAAAGAAGTTTATCAAAGAAATTTAAATCTAAGTATCGAGTTTTCGTAAAAGACAAAATAATATTACGAAATTAATTAATTTTAAGATATTACTTAATGTTATAAAATTGATGAAAAATAAAAAGTTTACTATTATTTTATGTATATAGTAAATAACATGGGCATATGTTTTGTTTGTTATATTATTGTGTATTGATTATTAATCTATATAACTAAAGTTATCACAAAATATGTTGCTGGGCGCAATACTCAAAGACGGCTGGACAAATTCGAGTAATTTTTATTTATTTATTCCTTGAACTCTGAGGAAGGTTTTTTATGTAGAGATTTATTTGGAAAATTGCACGGAAAAACCTGAAAACACTATTTTATTTCGAAAAAGCGAACAGTCTCTATGGGGTAGCATAGCAAAATGATTCATAGGTATGTAACTATGAAAAAGGTATTCTAAGTAAAAATATTTAGGCGAAACGAAGTTCGGGGGCAACTATATATATATACGTGTAAATATTATTATATAGGTGCTACTTACAGTAGTGTGTGCCGGCGTCAAGTCTGCTTTTAAAGCCAAAAGACGAAATCTCACAGGATCTCCAGGTCTGTAGCGGGCACGCTCAGAATGAATGACCAAAAGTTTACCGCTGGAAATTCGGATTGGCAAGTGACGCTCCCAGGTGCAACCGACTTCTGGATATCTGTTTATGATTCAATTTTATACCTATGTATTATTCCTTCTAAACAAAATGTATGTTTAAATTTGATAACAAAATTGCTGATGCGACTGAAAATTGTGGGAGAGGTGAATGCGAATTATGGTGAGAAATCTAATATTTTTAGTTCGAAGAAATAAATGAAAAATTGTTTTTGTCTATACAGAATTTCTTACCTGATATTTACACTTAGTTCTGCTTTAGTATTAGGCTGAAGTGGCACCGAGATGTCCAAACAGCCTCCGTCACCTGAGAACATTTTTATGATATTTTTCATTACATAAGGTAAATAGGAAACCGGCATAACCAAAATCGACAAATTAGAATAATTAGATAAAAAACGACGCAAATTTTTTTCTGTCCATTTTGTGTATTTGATTATATGACGATATATATTTATAGAAATTATTATAACATATGTTGATTATTTCCATTTAGAGTACCTACACCATATGTTAAGTAGGTAAAAAATTAAATCTAAGCTCTAAGCCATATTCAGTTTTAACAGCTTACTATAAAATTACTTACTAGTTAACTATAAAATGTATTCACATAGCATACCTTTTGAAACAAACATACATATTTTTCCATACTAGGTACTTGATTATAGTAGTTTTAAGGTTTCTCACCTGGATTTAGTTGCCTTGTAGATGTAACGGTTTCGCCATTAACATTCAAAGTCAGTAGTAACCTGGCCGGTCCATCTGGGTAGAAGCGAGAGACACAGGCGCGGCTACTGCCTCCACCTGTCAATACTCCTGGGACCAGCACTAAGTGGTTTTGATCTGTACATGGATTGCTGAAAAAATGTAACAATATTTCTAAAATTTACACGTCACACGCCTAATTTTAAGGTTTCTATAAAGTATGCCATTGGCAATGCAAAGATTTAAATTAAATTACGTCAAGAAGAGAATAACTTATATCAACTACTTGTAAACACAAAAGTTTTTCGGGCATTAAACATAAAATACAGTATTGTTGGCGCCAAAAATCTGTAGAGTGTAGACCATAGATCACCGCGCTTGCGCTAAAAGCGGTTGCCACAGTTAAAAAAAATATTTGAATCGTACATAAACATGGCGCCGACCGAGTAGGCGTCGAATTTAGTTCGATATTTAAAATGTAATTCCTAAAATGAAAATTGTTTGGGTGAAACTAACTTTAGACTTGGATCGAGAAATATTCTTTATCAAGGAATTGTTTGTAATTTGTAATTATGGTTTGCTAAAGAATTGCAATACTAAGTTATGAATATTTAAATTGATATTAGATATCCCTTTGCATCCTCATTATAAATACTTTTTTAACAAGGCCAACGTTTTGTTTCACATTATTGTTTTGGTCTGGTCAGACGTCAATTTCAATTTAATTTTTCAATATCGTCAGTGTTTTGTGCGTCTTGGTAAGTTTTTGTCTTTCTACTGATGAGAAAGAATATCGCAACCTCTCCCATTGTTCCTGTATTAAATATTCCTTTATGTTTACGACTGAAAATTGTGTGCTTTTTCCCCTTATTGTTCGTTGTGGTACAGTCATATAAATATGTTATAGATAATTTAATAAATTTAACGGAGCTTTTATACTCCCAATAAATACTTGTATACAATAAAACACCGGAAGATTACAGAGGAATCTTCGCACATCATAAGGAAATGGCCGAGAGTGGGTCAATGCCATCTAGAGAGTGACGCTTCAAGCTCACCTACAAGGTTGCTTTTGAGGTCACGAGGACACAGCTAACAAAAATATATATGGTTTTTTGCGCACTTTTTTGCCATCTAACTTAAAATAAGGTTTTTATTAAACTAGTTATACCTATTTTATGTAAGCTTTTAGCCAAGCTTAATCGAATCTAGATTGTATTCATAAACTACGCTACGTTTGTATTTTTAATAGGTTTTGTTATTAGTTACACTTAGGGGTCCAATATTCTTACATATGAAATTGGCGTTTTGTATGGGAGGAATAAAATATAGATTTTAAAGAATATATTTAATTAATCAAAGTATGTACTATAACTATAACTACGTAGTTCATTGATCCATTTACTAAAAAACCATTCTGACAGGAATCAATAAAATCTTTGAAGGCGGTTTCGACTGCCCCATCAGAGTTGAATGTTTTACCTTGCAAGAAATTATCCAAATTTAAAAAAAAATGGTAATCTGTTGGAGCAAGGTCCGGGGAGTGCGGTGGATGTCTTAGACATTCCAATTTGGTAGCATTTCTACTAAAGTTTTCTACGTTTTTCTTCAGTTTTTAAACGCACTTAAGCCGTGCTTATCTATGCCATAACCATTCGCTTAGTCATAACCTTTCGGAACCCGTCACATATATTGTTTGGAGAACCTAACGAAATTAATAAATATCTCACTTCTACCTTGAGCTTCACAGAATGTGTATTATTATTATTTGTACGTTAGTCAACGAATTACATAGGTTAATGGATTTTTTATTGTCCGTTGCTTCTATTTGTAAGTGTCTATAATTATTAGTTAATATTTTTAATTTTATAAATATTCTTTAGTTTGGTTTTCCTAATTATTTTTTTAGTTTGTTTATGTTGTCTGTGATTTTTACGAGATTAACGTTCTTGTTGATTTATGGTTGTTTTTTGTAAATAAATACATAATAAGATATCGTCTCACATAGAACCAAAGACAATAAGTCATAGAGCTTACGCATGCGTACCTACATATTAATAAGTTTTCGTATCGATAGCCGGCAATGGTAGTGAGCAACAACAATGTATCATTTTTATCATCTTCGGCGCTTCATTGTATTTTATAACTTTCAGTTAAGTTAAATTTTTTCGTAAGCGGATTATAAGTTAGTAATAATATTACATTATGCAATATTTTCCATTGATATAGTAGTCGAAGTTATCTTTTTTATAATTACAGTTTAGCTATTACAAATAAAAAATAATCCATATTATATTATGTGTAGATAATTATGAATAATAGTTTAAATATATAAAGGAAACCGTGAAATGTGAATGAAATGAGAGTGGTTTCTCAGGACTGTAGCAAGTGGAGATCCTAGGTCTCTGCCTTTGGGAAAAAAGCGTGAAGATAATAATAAATAAATATAAGTTTAATGTGTTTCGGTGGTCTTTTCGTTAATTTTCTTCATTGCCTAATATTCCATTTCCATATCAATATATATCCATTATTATATGTTACTAAATACATATGTTTATAAAGAAAACGGACGTAATTCAATCACATCCGTGATTATAAGGTTTCTTTGTTTGCAATTGAAATTGACCGCAACAGTTTATGCAGTTGACACTAAGCCAACGACTTCATGTAACATAGAGTATTTTGTCTCTGCTAATGTAATGTGGAAAACTACGTAAAAAAGTGTTACCGTAACACACGGTTTAAAAGCAGCACGTCTAATCTGTAAAATAATACTGACAACGTATAACATTTACAAATAATGACGGAATTAGGAAAATTTTGAAGTTTTGCTTTGAATATCGCAAATAGAAATATATATCTTC